GCGCTACGAGATTCTTTCTATTGGTTTGTGTTGCAAGTATGCTGTGAGCACTTGCAAAACAACCTGATGTCCAAAGAACATTTGTTCATAGGGAAATAAAAAGTTAGATGTAAGCTGCATCATATAATCGAAGCTCGAGGCGAAACAGAATAAGTCCCCGCTGATTCGTCAGCTGTTGCTCACTTGAGCGGCTGGCCGAGCTTGGAGCGCATACCCTGGGGAGAGACCCCTGACAGGAATCTCCTGCCGAAATTGACGAGAATATGCTGATGTAAAAGAGGTGTTGATTTGACATGCACTATTTCCTCTTTTGACGAGGAAGCATGATTGATTGTTGTGGACACGCACACATATGACAGAAAAGTGATGGGTTTGGTTGTCAATTAGAGGAATCGTGGTGATGAGTCGCCATTGATGACGTTATATGGCCCATATCATATGGGTAAGATGATCTCACTGGGATCGGATGTTGGCCGTCGCATTAATTAGGTCGGTTGATTCTTACATGCTAGAAAGTATACATATTAATCCGCTCTCAGGGTTCTTCGACATATGTCACAAATGACCAGTTTCACGAGCAACAATCTGGCGTACAGCAACTCCGGGCGCGTTTCTCTCGGCATAACGTGTATTATGCCTGGTTGCGAGAGGCGCATCCGTAGCGGTTCGTACTTCTGCATCAACCACGGTGGAGGTCTGAGATGTCTGCTTCCTGGGTGCACGAGCTCCGCTCGCGACGGCTCCATTCATTGCATCAAGCATGGAGGTGGTCGTCGTTGTGTCGCTGCCAACTGCAGCAAGGGTGCAGTTGGTAAGACAGATTTCTGCAAGAGCCACGGAGGCGGGCGTCGCTGTTTACACCCCAATTGTGCGGCTCCAGCTAGATCCGGAGGAGAGGTACAAATGTGTCAGAGGCACGGAGGTGGGAAGAGATGCAAGGAGATGGGATGTGAGAGGGTGGTGGCTGCGCGAAGTGACCACTGTAAGCAGCATCGGGTGCTTGCTCTACGGTCTGCCGATTCGCACGGGAGT